GAGTCAAGGAAGGCATCGTGCAGCAAGGGCCAGGGAGAGGCAAGTGGAGTGTGCTGCAACTGCACAGTGAAATGCAAGTGACAGCAAGGAGGTGAGGTGAGTGCGGACAGGTGAGCCTTCCCAGAGAAGGCGATGTCAGAAGGCAGAGGAGGACAACCAAGTGGAGGGAGAGCAGTGGGGATGAACACAAATGTGGCACACATTCCCACAGATTGCAACGTGTCGCTGCTACCTGAAGAAGAGGATAAGCAACAAATCTTGTACTCATTTAATTCTTGTTACCCAGAAACAAGAAAAAGAAAAGGAAAACAAACAATGAAACAAGGCTGAGAGAGTGATAACAAGAAAAACTATTAAGTTGAGCCTGGGTTGTTTTTCTATATGTTACAAAATAGGTACTAATTCCTTAGTACAAACAAGACTCTGATGTTTTTAATCAAATCAAATTATGACCGAGTGGATGACTATCAATAAGATGAGATGCTAATCAAGTGTATGTTTCTGCATTTGAACATAAAGTAATCCGGACAAAAAAAATAATAAAACTATATCATGACTACCAATTGGGTCAAAAATTTTCTTGACTGTGTAGACAATTCATCTTTACAATGTGTAAGTAGAAACCACCTTTGCAAATTTTCTTTTTTCTACTCTCAGTATGTACTCATAGCAACATTTCATAGACTACATCTAAAAGGATGTAAAGAAAAAAGCTCATTCCATAAGTAGAAGGTATGTTTGTGAAATATAAACTTACTCACACTGGGATATTTTAATTTTTTCAAATAACACAGGAAAGGAAAGACAGGAGTCTGAAGCATACTGTTTAACATTTATAGGTCTGATTATAGGTTTTTTTCCTCACATTTTAATATTTATCACATGCTGTATCTGTAAATTCTGTGACAATGAGGTTGGTACAAAGACTTGCACATGTTGAAAGAAAGATCTTATTTTCACTATTCCAGATTAAAATAAACTATAGCAACAATAAACATGTCTTTCAAAAATAATATTTTCACGTGCCTGTCATTGCATACGCAATTTCTCCCAGGAATTTTTCAGGTAAATTTATAGAAAGAGTTTAAAGGTAGGGAGGTAGGTAAATGAAGAGATACACAAATAGAAAGGCCTAAGGAAAAATTGACATGAAAATATTTTATTGCATAAAAATAAAATATGTCCAATGAAGACATGATATTTAAATAAAAATTCCACTGTTTTTTTTCTTTGCAGGTATCTTCTACATTATATGGGAATCTCCAGAACTTCTCAATGTCACATTGTCAATTATAGTTTTGGTTTTAAAAAAGAAAAGAAAAAGAGCTAACATTGGTTGAGTTCTTCGTATGTGCCCTACATTAATTTCCTAATTCCTTACTGTACTCTCACTTAATCCTCTTCACCTCTCTTGAGATAGCACGACACTGGGGTCAGCATGTTAAGATGATAAGGGGACTGATGCACAGGAAAAGGAAGCCACTTGCACACACTGGTACAGGCAGATTAAGGCTCAGACCTAGAGTGTGCAAATGTATAGCTTATGCTCATAATCACTCTTTTTTGCACTCCCCAAAATGCATGATGTTTGCAACAGCACAAAGTCAAAACCAAACAGCATCTGGCTTTCCTCAATTGACAAGAAATCCTATAGTGCAATCCCATTTTCTGTTGTCTTCCATTCATTAAACAATTGTTCTTTGGGATTAACATTTAATATGTGATATATGCCTTGGTTAATACCTTGCTTTGTATGGCATTTATTTTTATGTGAAAATTAACCATTTAGATCAAGATATCAGAATAACATGAAGTCGTGTCCACATAGTCCTAGGTTTGATTCAGGTAGTCTGTTCATATTTTCTTTTCCCTATGTTTAAATACTTGAAGTTGAATGAAGGTTTTAATTTGTATCAAAATGACTTTATTTAGTCAAGAACACACATATAAACAGATTTCACCAAATCTGAATTTTTCAGTCCATTTCAGTCCTGCTAGTCATGCAGTATATATAGTCAGAGCTTTTTTGTGTGTGATTCTATGGACAAGCCTATGCTTTAAGGCAGATAGAATAATTCCACAATGTTATGTGAAAATAAGATTATGTAAAACCATTGTAGGACATATAGCCAAGGGTCCAGGTACAAAAATAATGTCATTGTTCCAAGTTCACTTAAATATCACTTTGTGCTAGAAGTGTTTTCCCCAGTACTTTCTCCAGAATTAATGCTTTCATCATCTGAGCCAATAATGTTATTGTGATAACTTACACACTACTTACTATTGTACGACCCAAGTTTCCTGATCAAGGTGGTCTCCCTCTTTGACCTTTACTCAGAATATAAAGATCAGGTTTTCTGGGCAAAGAGCTGTAAAAATTCCATTCTGTATAACAACCTCCTCCCTGTTTTTCTGTTCCTCTTTTTCTAACCCAAGGATGAACCTATCTTCTTCCTGATAGTTGTTTAAGATAGTTAGAAAACCATATGTTTAATCACATGCTTTGTTAAATATAATAATTGACTAATCAAATTTTCTTTGGAAAAAGGAACTTGACCCTTTGAACCTCCCCTCCTTTAGGTATTAGCAATTTCCAGTAAGCACCTTCCTATTCCAGCAAGTACTCCAATAATATCTAATAGTAATCAAAAGATAAAAATAGCATCAATAAAAAGGGAAAGCCTCCCCAACCCTATATAATCATGCTTTAAAAATGGGTCAGGACTCTCGTTTTCTGATCCCCTCAGTCGGTGAAGTATGAGGGTCCAGGCTCGAGCTTGTAATAAACTCCTCATGTAATTACATCGGACTTGACTCCTTGGTGGTCTTTGGGAATATTGCGATCTAGGTACAACATTTGGGGGCTCGTCAGGGATCCCCAAGACTCCAGGACTCTCCCCAGAGGAGATCAGCCAGCAGAACATGCACATGTGGGTGTCTTTTTACATACCTCTCTTCGAATACTGACGGGCTCATAGTGTTGTCCCCAGATCATGATATTCCCAAAGAGCCTGTCAGTATTTGAAGCACTTTACATAGAATAACAGGTTGGCTTTTCAAAACAACTCTGTGAAGTAAGCTGCTGTTATTACTATTATATAGATGAAGAAACAGGCATAGAGAGGTAAGGTGGCCAAGTCAGGTTTGAACCCAAGCCTTTGTCTCCCGAGTTCCTGTTCCTACCTACTATGCGGCTGTCTATTTATTTTTATGGTATCCATGGCATTCTATTTCATATGTTTCATTGTAAATATTCTCTCTCTTCTACTAAAACATAGGGTAATGTCCAGCTTCAAGATTCCATGATTCTCTTTGCTTCGCTTAGTCTCGCTGATGTAAACAAAATGCCTATGTAAGCCTGTATTACTAATTTGCTCTTCTCTTTTTCCCAGTGCTTCCTTTCCTGCCCTACAGTTGATGCTTTGTTTTAGCCTGAGTTTTATCTGGTTGGGAAAGGCTCTATTTTGCATATATGCTGGTGAATTTTTTCCAGAGTTATAACACACTCTTTCAGAAGGACTCCATTGGTGCTCTATTGAAGATGGTACAACACAAATATATCCACAATAAAACCGCCTCCATATACGAAGTGCTTGCTTTGTGTCAGTCATTTGCTATTATTATTATTATTTTTGCCTCATTTAACCACAGAAATGTGGTGAGGGGGTTTTAGCTCTATACATTTTATAGAACAGGCTCTGAAAGATGAAGGGATTTGCTTAATTAAGCTCATACAGGTAAGACTAAACCCACTTCTCACTTCAGTCTGTCTGACTGTTAAGCATGTGAGTGTAAGGCTTTAGTGCCTCTTCCACTATTGTGAGCGTATCCTGGGCAAGGGACTGGATATATGAAACAAGCTTAATTCTCTTATAATCTAGCCAGCCGAAATCCCCACCATTATGCCACAGGGATCACAAGTTTTCCTTTGCCATACCTCACTTTTATTAAGCTGTCATTGCAATCATGCTCTAAGCTAATGGTAGCTGGTAACAAGTTGGATAGGCCATTGGTTCTCAACTGGAGGGTGTTTCGCCTCATAAAGGATGTATGGCACAGTCCAGAGACATTTTGTTACAACTGCGAAGGAGTGCTACTGTTATACAGATAGTAGAGGTCAAGCAAACTGCTAACCATCTAGTACATCACCCCCAATAAACAGTTATCTAACTAACTCAAAATGGCACTAGTGTAGAGTCTGAGAAACTCTGAGCTAAGCTGAAATTAAGATGCAATGTTAAACATATTAGAGGTAGTGCTATGCAGTAGAAAGGACTGGGAAACTAATGAAATAAGGAAAATGAAGGACTTTACCTGGGTTAGTGATGGTAATGTGACATGAATGGAAGCTTTTGATAAATTTAACTCTGCATACGAGTTATAACAGAAAATAGAACTGAGTAAACAGATCAGAATACTAATAACAGAAAAAAGAACTGCAGAAAATTGAAATCCAGAAATATTCATAATTACCAATTCTGGGAACCTGATTTTACTGTGGAATAATTCTGTTTTCTCTGATTATGATGCTCCCTGCACTTTGCTTCTAATCATGGAACTGAGGAAATGTTCAGAGGGAAAAGTCATGTGCTGGGTCCACTACCAATGCATAACTTCAGGAGCTCTCTTGTTCCTTGGAGTCAGCTCCGGAGCACATCTCTCTCCCAGTCTATCATCACAAACTCTTCTTCTTGGGGGGGGGTATAAATTAGTGCCTGGGTATGGTTCTTGAAATTGAGATTCTTACTTTCCACTGCATATGAAGCTATACAGTGTGTTAAATCACAAATTATATCCTTGTTCTTCAAGAATTAGGGTTGTGCTAATAGATAAACATATTTTAAGACAAGACAGTGACTAGGAAATGTTATTATTACTAGGGCTGAATGACAATGATGATAAAGCCATCTGATGTTGATAGTCTCTGTGCCTACCCTGGTGAGAACTTCTCAGAAAGGATAAAAGCTCATTAGTATTTAAAAACAACCAGAACAACTTACAGTATATGGTTGGTGTAATAATGTCACTTTCCATTTCACTGACGGGGTTCTTCACGAGACAACTGTAATTCCCAATGTCCTCCTTGGTGACTGGAGAAATACGAAGGGTGTTGCTTTGGGGAGAAAAAGCATAGGTGGAACTGGTACGGACCGGCTTCCCGTTTTTTAGCCACTGGTACGCTAGCCGGGTACCCCCTTCCACCTGGCACATCAGGGTCATGTTCCCCACGTACTCCACAGCCCCAGAGGAAGGGTGATTCTGCACCACTGGCTTTGTGACAGGGTCTGCAATATCAAGAACAGAAATAATTTTTGTACCCAAGGAATTATGATAAAACTTCATAAAGTCTTTTAAATAGTAAATCCTGGGGAAATAATGCTAACATTTTATACTTTGTAAATATGGACTCCTCGGGCAATAATTAGAATAAAATATCATGTAAAATGCAAAATAATAAAATATAAAAATCTTTTTCATCGTCAGAATTTACAAAATTCTAGAACTTTCTTATCACAGATTGTCTAATGAAGCCCTTCACTCTGTAGATGATGTGTTTAGTGGTTGAGAACCTTAGCTTTTTTATTTCCTGTTCATTGTGCTTTCTCCAGTACCATAAAGATATATACTCAGAGGCAAGCTTTATACAGTTATTCACCTTTCTTGGCTTGTCCTAATGTACCCAGAGCAGCTGAATGCAGTGAGCATTTAAAATCTTCAAAGTATTCAGCTCACATGTGGTATACTATTGGAAAATTGAGGGAAAGTTTTAGAGACTCAAAAATGGATAACTTTATTTAAGGGAACTGATTGTATCTTTTAATTAGTTTATATTTGTGTTGAAAGATTATGTTAGTCATTTTAAAAAACCAAGGTCTACACTTCAACCCTGACTCAATGGATAATAAGATAAAATACATCATTGGGATTATATCAAATTAGAAGTATAAATGACAATTATAATAGAAATTCTAATTGGAAAATCAAGTCATAGAAAATTAGTTGTATACTGCACTGCCAGTATGATACACCACAGAAATTTAACATTGCATTTGTCAAATAAATAAATTTCCAGAATGAGTAAATATTTCCTCTCTGAATTTTAACTCTGAAATTAATGAATATGGGCAAAAGTTACATATTCATCAATAACCATTTCAGTGACATTTGTCAATCTTTGAGTTTCTTGGATCTTTATTGATTAAAAACAGTGACTTGTACAGAGTTACATAGAATTCAGTGCTGAAAGGATTAACATTCAGTAGCTTTGAGTCTGGCCATAAGTTTCTCTTGTATTTTGGGGATATGTATATATTTAATAATTTCCTTCACGAAGAGTAAGATGACACCTAAGGGACCAATAATTGGATCAATCAAGCTTTTAGCTGAGGTGGATGCATCCTCCTCAGGCATATTTAACTTGAATCATTTAACTTTTCCAATAATGGAAAAATGTGCATCAGGACAGTAAGAGACTAAACTTTCCAGCTCAGAGGAGAAAGAAGTAAATGAAAGACAAGGAGAAACAAGGGTGAAAGCAGTTTGTAGGCCAGCTGAGTAGCTCTGAAGCCTCCAGCACTTCTGAGTGTGGATGTAATCAACCCATTTGGTTCAATCTTTTATCTTTCCTGGCAACAGCAAAGGATATGGAATAGCTTTTGTTTACATCATTAATATTTAAAAGGCAAAATGAATGATGTGTATTTATTATTTATAAAGCTTTGTGTTTCAAGTGCATCTCATGTGGTATGGGAAAAATAAGTAATATGTTAATGGTATGAGAAACAATCATTAGAAGAGCTACTAGCTTGTGATCACACACTTGCCTAGAACAGTATGACTCAGACGTGGAAATTTCTCTTCTGAGAAGAATTTTTTCTCAGGCCTGAAAAGCATCTGAAGGCTTTACTAAACTTTTGGTTTCACTTTGCCAAAAAGATCAAACTTCACTACACATTAACATATAAGGGATCTTCTGTTGAAAGTACTGAGGGAGACAGAAAACCACATAGGAAAGCCTCCTGTTTCTTCAGCTTCGGGAAAGCATTCCCGTCTACTGCCACTCACTACTCCACCAATGGCTACAAAATATAGGACCGGCCAGCAGGTTTTAGGCACTAGGGACAAAGCAGTGAACAATGCAAAGTCTCCACTTCCATGGACCTTGTGTTCTACTTAGGGAAGAGAAGCAATAAACAAATAAAAATATGCAATATGTCTAGATGGTAGTAAATGGGACAAAAAAGAGAAAGAATTGAAGATAGTGACTTTGCGACTTTATGGCATGTGTGTTTGAGGAAGTGAGATTATAGTTTGTATAGGGTAGTTAGGAAAGACTTCACAGATAATATAGCGTTTGAGCTGACACTTTAAAGGAAATAAGAGTGATATCAGGGAAAAAATCTATCGAGGTGGACAGAAAGTACAAAGGTCCTGTGAAGTGAGCGTTTGTCTGGTTCAAGGAAGATCAAGACTAGCATGGCCAGAACAGAGTGAAGGAAGTAGAGGTAAGAACTGGATCCAGTAGGTCATGGTATTCAAACAGGTGCTGGGAGGATTTTAAGCTTCAGGAACAGAAGCAGAGAGACCAGGGGTCAGCTATTAGAATGGGCCAGGCCACAGCTGGTTGGGTTGAGTGGGAAGTAAAGGGGCTGATAAGAAGTGGTCAGACCCTGTCCACAATTTGAAGGTAAAGCTAACAAACATGTTTCCTTGTGGCTTGGATGTGGGATGCAAGAAAAGGAGTCAATTATGACTAAAAGACTGGCCTGCGAAACCAATAAAGTGGAAGTAGTATTTACTAAAATGAGAAATATTGTCAAATAAACAGGTCTAGAGAGAAAAAGCAGAAATTGGACTTTGGAATAAGATATTTAAGGTATCTCATTTACACATTTTGATAAGAAAAATAAACATCCGAAAGTTAGCTGACCTCATTCTTCAGAGGACATTTCCAGAAACTCTTTATTGCTGTTGCATATGATCACTGAGCTAATTCTCCCCCAAATGGTGCTGGACACTGTGCATATCCTTTATGTGCATGTCTAATTTAGTCCTCAGAAGGCCTCATGAAATAGATAATAATGTTATTGGTGTCATGAGATGGTGAGGCTTTGAGGATTAATTAATTCATCAGAAGTTGCATAGCCAGAACCTGAAGCCCACCAGTTTTAGTGTCCTGAGTCTCTGCTGACCCTAAACTAGCTTGCTAAATATAGTCAGAGTAGACTCACCATCAACAGTGACTTGTATCTTCTGACTCGAGGATAGAGTTCCATTCCCTTGAATGTTGACCTTCACAATGTAATTGCCTTCGTCATCAAACTGCAGTGGATTGATGAGCAGAGATGCGTTGGGTGGGATCATGGTGAACTTGTGTTGGTATTCCAGGTCAGGAACTACAGATGTATTCACAGAGCTCAGTAAGTATTTGGGCATCGCATGTGGTCTCTCAAATAGCCATATGATCTGGATATCTGATGCCACAGTGTGGAAGCCATAGTGCACAGGGAGGTAGAGGGCCTGACCTCTGATGGCATGGACAGTGTGTGACGGCACGGTCACCTTCAGCCCAGAACAAGAACCTGATACAAAGGAAAGGAAAGCCGTGAAGATCCCGGGCAACATTTCATAATTCATAATCCAGAGAGGCAACTTCAGAGAGAACTTGATCCAATGATAGTCCTTTCCAGCGAAGAGACTTCTAAGTACTGACCATTCTAGTCCCAGTTACACATAGAGGTAAATATTTGCCTGTGAAAGCTTCTGCATTTTAAAAACTCCACCCAAAGACTACACCAATTGCATGACTTCCCTAAACACAAGATGAAAAGGAAAAGCAGAAGTTGCTGTCTATGACAGTTTAAAGAATAATGAGAAAAGGAGAACAGAAACAGTTCTAAAGTTCAGGGAATCCATAAAAAAATTTATAATTATGACTATATTGTTATCTGTGTCATACTCTATTCTAATCAAACTATGTATTCTGAGATACTGGTAGGTGAAATTCTCCCAAAACAATTTCCCAAAGCCTTCTTTTTAAAATTAATTTTATTGGTACATTTTTTAGGTATAAAATACAATGACATTCATCACTGGAAATTTGTACCTTTATGTGATCTATCTTGGTTCTTATTTATTTCACCATTCTCCTGCCCTCCTTTTAACACCTCCACCCCTTCCTATTTACAAAGACTTTGTTTCCATTTTTTTCATTTTTTCATATTAATTCCATTCCTTTCTTTCCTTTCCCCTACCACTTCCACTACCCTTCCCCCTTTTTTTTCCTATTTCACATTATCTATCACACCTTTTAGTCCCGATATATACTTTCAGTTTCTCACACCAGAGAAACTGGTATTTATGCCTGTGTGTCCTATTTAGTTCACTGAAGAATATTGCCTCAGTGTGCATCCACTTAGTTATAAATGTCTCTAATTTCTCATTCTTTATGGCTGAGTAGTACTCCAAAGCCTTCCATCTTTTGGAAATCTTCCCCTTTATCCAAAGCCTTGATAAATATAAATAACTCAAGGAGAGTGTCATTAAACTCTTATTGGCATGACTAGTCATTCCTGCCCAGAAGAGGAATGGGACATGTTTGAGGAACAGCAAAGGAAGGCCACAGAGGAGCAGCAGAGAGGAGTAGGAGCACAGTAAGCTCTGAGGTCGGTACAGTGGCTAGGAGAGAAGGGTTGAGACCACAGAATCAGGAGAAAGACTTGGGCAATTTTACTCTGAGGTGAAAATGCAACTAGAGTTTTGGCAGCAGATAGGGATCTGACTTTTCTCATGTTTTATTAGACTCACTCTACTTGCTGTGGCAATAGTTTGAACTGTGGATAAGAGCAGGAACAGAGAGACTCCTTAGGAGACAACTGTAATAAAACAGACAAGAGCTGATGGTGCTATGGGTGGAAAACAGTAGTAGTCAGGATATCATGGGAAAATATTGCTGGTGCTGAAAAGATTTGCTAACACAATGAAGGTGGGATATAAGATACAACGAGGGGCAAAGAATGACTTCAATGCTCTTGAGTTAGATTAATGAGAAAAATGGAGTTGCAACTAATAAATTCATCGTTGCTGGGAGGACTGGCTTTTATGGGGAAGATCAGAGGCAGGTTTGGGCATGTTCATTTTGAGATGCTCATCAGACATACAAGAAGAAATGTTGAGTGGACAAACTGAACCAGAAAGCCTGATGAAAATGTTCAGGAATGATTTGGAGTCCTGGTCAGCCCCATGGCATAGACTGCTGCTTACTACATAGCCCTGGGCAGTTCCCTGGTTGTTTAGGTCTAAGAATTCCCCGTTGTGTCTCATGTTTGCAGATTGCTTTATAGTTTCTGGTACCTTGGAAATATCCCTATCTTTCTATGCGCTTTTAATGAAAAGAGTCCTCCTTAGCTTAGAGCACCGTGTTTCTAGATCTGTAAGTGCTTTATTTCCAAACCTTCATTTTAAAAGGGGGAAAATATGGTTTCTCCAGCCTAGGAACATTTGACATTGTGGAGGAGAGAATGGCAGGAATTTCAATGAATATTTTGAACTATGAGAGAGAGAAAAAAGACATTGGAGATAGTGAGGGTAGACAGGAGGAGTTTATCGTGGAAAGCAGCAGAAATATGGGGTAGCAGCTGGGCAGGTTTGTAAAATGCAAAACCCAATTTCTGGCTATGAGGAAAGATGCATTAGAAAGGGAAATGTTGAAGGAGTAGAGATGGGTGAGGGCAGAATACAATCCTGGAGTAGATGAGGCCAGAAATTAGGCATAAACGGAGAAATTTTACAATTTCAGTATTCCCATACATAAAGTATTTGTTCTTTTGATTGCTTTCCCTCTTCACTGTTATCAGGAAGGGAGGCTCTTTAAACTTCATCAGGTCATGTTGTGTGACATCATTGAAATAAGAGAAAAGCAGAAAAACTTCGTTTTTCACAAAAATTTCTTTGGAGAAACTCAAACACGTAGGCCTGCTCCTAGGAAGAATCCAATTTGACTGGCAGTAAATTTCTCTTTTTCCTTTCATAGCAGAGTTGGGAGCAAAGATTTCTACTGTTTTGGCCTGTGGTAAGCTGCAAGAACAGCATGAGACTCTCAGGCTGCGAGGGAAGTTAGAGCAAAGAATCTGGAGGAGAAACACAAAGAGGAAGAGCAGAGAGGTTAGAAAGAAAACAGACGCCTAGACAGTCAGCTGAAAGCAAACAGGACAGAAACCCATACGACTACAGGGAAACAGACTGCATTGCAGCCTCCTTGGTCTCTGTGTATACTTGTGGTTAATATATTTTTTTTTTCTTATAATGGACTGTACTTATACATGTACTTATACATTCACTTTAGTGATCCGTCTGTACCACCAGCATTATGAAGGTTTGCTTCTTCATTCAATTCCAGCAAGTTCAAGAATGTTAAAGTTGGAGAGTTTTTCCCCCCCCTAATCTAAGTGATCAGAAAGAGAGGGGACTATATGCTGGGAAATCTATAGGGAAGAAAAAGTGAATTTCAGAAAAGAAGTAGTGGTTTTCTCTGGGACGTGATAAGAGAGAGAAAGGAAGATGGGGGAGTAAATCAGTGTCTTAAAACTAGTGAAGTCAAGTGGGTGTGATCGCACGTGCGTGGGCAACTTTGAGACTGTCTCAAAAAGGCGGGTGGGTTGGGGCTGTAGGTTTGTCGGAAGGCTCTTTGTTCATTCCCCGGTACTAAAAAACAAACAACCAGTGATTTCTAACGCGAAACAGAGGCTGGGTAGTAGTGAGGGTGCAGCTCTTGAAATCACACATTTATAAAGACATTGAGCATTTGGATCGGAGCAGAACATAAAAAGATTCCTCCTAGTGTATGTGTTCTTTGCACAAAACAAAATCATTCACATGCTTTTCACAAGGAGCTCCGGAAAAGTTCCTGGTAATCTATAAATAAAAACTAGTCTTTTAATACCCTTCATTATTAATTTAAGATACATAAAATGTGGTCTTAGATGAATTCTTTCACTTAGCCTGTTTTCTCATTTGTGAAAAGAGGCCCATATTAGATGAAGTTGAAGGCCTTTCTTGAATGACTAAATGTTTATGTCTTGACACCCTGAAGTGATTTTCTCAGGGCAGCAGCTACCTACATTTGAAGTTGAAGGGCTCAAAGAATTTTGAAGTATTGAATCTCAGTTTCTAGTCCACTTATTAAGTTATCAGTCCTGTATATTATGAATGAAGTGCTGGAAATTCACATTGATGCTTTGAGAATGCACTAGGAAAAGCTACACAGCTGATATAAAAATGACACAGTTCCCTCTGGCAGAGAGCAGTTTTGCCTTTGACTTCTTGATCCATTCAAGACATTTCACAGCTCAACCTAGAAACTACTGCTAGACTGAGATATCAGAGTAGATACTCCAGGTGCAATTTTAGCTGATCTGTTTGTTATTTGGAGAAGTCATTAGAGAAGGTTTTTGTTTTATTTGAGTGGGGGGCTTTTTACTGTTTTGTTTTTTAAGGGAGGAAACTCTTAGTCTAGCTTCCTTGTAATTGCAAATGAAAATGATTGGTTGAGATTTAAGTAACATTCTGAAAATGGTTGGGAGGCACTACATCACTATAGATTGACTATGACATTGCTGACTTTTGGATATGGATTCAGAATGTTGAATTTTAAGTATGAAATGTCTGGTTACGCGGGGTGTCTACAAGTAAAGTTATGAGAAGAAAATTTGTTTAATAAAATATTAAATATAATACAAATATTGCAGCCCAGAGGAAAATGAGACTACTTTAGTAGCAAACAACACTTTCTATGATATTTATGATCATTGTTTAAGGTCATGGTGGGGATCTAGTTCTTTGGGCTATCTTAGAGACTGTATCCTGTAATGATGCCTTAAATAATATATTTCCATTGATATCTCTGAATATATTCAATGAATCCACATCAAATGATAAAAGTTTTTCAAACATATATGCTTTTTTTCTAAATGGGTCAGTGAGAGCAGAGCTCTTACAATAGCTGTGTGCTTATAGATTGCCTACAATATTTTTATGAAACAAAGTATAAGTAACAAGTTATAAAAATGCGGCAAGGAATCAGCTTTTCTTTGAACAGTATCTTATTTCAGTTACCTAAAATTTCTGCATTTTTTTGAAAGATATGAACCTACTGGTGGTATAATCCTTATGGTAAAATTTAGGAAATAAACGGATACTTGGAGGTTTAATCTACATTTGTGTAATACATGCTACTCTTACCACTGATGTGTTTTCCACCTCAGTTGTGACAAATTCATGCTAGCAAACATAGTTTACTAATTTTAGATAAACTGGCTTCATTTTGGGAAAATTTTAAGTGCTCTTTTTGAGTTTTGTGAGAAAACCCAAAGGACTAAAACCAGTGATTTTAGAAAGCCAACTTCTGCATGCACAATTAAACTTTAGGACAATGCATAATATAAAAAAATTAATGAAATTTTAACTTCCCCTTAATACTCCAAATATTTGCACTTAAACACATTAAATTGTATTAGACTCATTGGTATTTTCTGTGTATAAAAAGAAAGACCCAAACTTTTTGCATCTAACACAGTAATACTAAAGAGACTGATAATTCCACTCACAATCTGGTATATAAAATTACAGTGCTCATTTCTTTTTTAGAGACTCTTTTAAGGTGCATAACAATTTCTTTAAAAAGTGTACAGTAGTAAGGGAAATTTGAAGTTATACTGTAAAATGTATCTATAGTCCGGCAACAAAGGACTTTCTACACCAGTTTCACTGTATTGAATATAAACATTAGGCTTCACAAAGTGACCTCTGCCGTAGCTTAAAATAGCTGACATTTATTTCCCCATTACCATGCATGTTATTAGCAAGCACAACACAGATATTTTGGCTGAAAATAAGCCCTTGCATCTTTGGAGAAAATACAAATTATGAAGTTGGATTTTGAAGAGATAGCACAAGCCATATATTTTAGGCTTCAAAGTTTTAGATTTTTTTTTTTACAAAGAAGATACAAACAAAAATTCCATATCCCTAAAAGATTTCCACATTATGTGTGATCTCCAAAACACACTACCTATAGTGAAAGTAAATGTGGATAAAAAGATTGTCTGGAGATGTAATAATGGATTTAACTATTTATGGATATGTGATTTCTATAAAGTCTGCCTTTTCATTTTAGCAAAATTTCTCAAGTGAATTGACTCTAAATTCTTATTAATATCAGTTATAGAAACATCACATAAAGTGAGTTTATTTTAAAATAAAAATAAGTGGGACACTCACACAAGATATTTCAAAGCTAAGAAAATCGCGAAGTATAGTAATAGTTTAATTTTTCAAAAATTTCAAAAAATGAAAATCTATCATAGGCTTGAGTTTGATAACAAACACTAATAACTGAAACAATCACAACTAGAGGAAACTCAACTACTTTAAAAATTTACAGTTTGTACATTTCACATGTGAGATATATAGTTGATATAAACGATTTATGATGATAATTATAACAAAATACATTAGTGAAAGTAAGGCTTTAAATAACTGAGAAAGCCTAAAACTTAAATTGCTTATGTAGCTTAATTTGTTCTTAAATTCAAGGAATAAAGCATTTTTAAAAATTTCCATCTGTTGAATTTAAACAAAACAAGACCCAACTTGACTTTTAAAATCTGTAAATAGGAAGAATGGAAAAGAGAATATCTGGTGAATATAATGTTGCTAAAAATAGTGGGAATGTTAAAGAGGGATTCTTTTAAACTCTAAAGATAAAGAGGAGAGTGAGAACTAAAACTAAGCTACACAAAATGGAGTAGGACGTGACGCTGGTCAAAGAAAAGCTAAAGACATTAGAGGAAAAATCCTTTTTAACACACTTAGCTCTCTTTTGTCAGTTAAGACTGCCTTTTTTCATGTTTTACAGTGTAGTAGGTAATTTAAAATAAATTAGAATCCACAGTTTACAACAATATCTTTTTAACTTTTTTTTTTATATACCGGGGATTGAACTCAGAACCTTGCACTTGCAAGGCAGGCAGTGGAATTTAACTGTACCTTTAACTAGAAGAATACCTTTAATTAAAAGTAAATGATTCCCATAAATCGTTGTTTCATTCTAAACAGTAACAATTCCATGGCCTATCTGAATTTGCCAAAGTAAATCCATTAAAGCCATTGAGCCTATATGTAAGCTCTGCAAAAAAAGAAATCCATTCGCCTTTTTTAATGTCTTAACTATCTTAGCAACTACTGGAGACAACGACTGTTCCTTCAAGAAAACAGTCACCATCTACATATTGAACCTGATTTCTCCTAAATTTTCCTGCTTTGCTGCTGGAACATCACATTAGTGTTAAAAGATTCTCATCTGCTCTTCAATTTTCTGAGAGAATCTATACCTTACAGCAAATATTTACCTTATGCCCACTACTGAAAACAAAACAAAACAAAACAACAGCAAAAGTCAAATGTCTAAAGTACAATTCAGGGCCTTACCTAACAGGAGGAGGTAGATTTTGCATTGAAAGATCCCAGCAGTGCCTCTTTGGGGCTCCATGAAAGCATCCTGTCCCATGCAGACAGTGCCGTTTTCAGTGGTAAGTTTCTTCATGGACCAGCATCTGCTGGTTTATTTGCTAGGGAAATTAGCAGTGAGGTAACAGACCCTATCCTGCCTCTTGCTTCTGTGATTTGAATACAGAATGATGTGTGTACAAAGGACACAGGGAGCGGGAACACCTGTTATGTTCTTTGTCAGAATACAGGCATATGACTTTCAGGATAGGTTCTAGCGATTATCAGTAACTGTCAGTCTGTTTTATAAATTATTCTTTGTTATTACTAATCACAAGAGGAAAAACATCCTTTTGGATGACTTTATTGAAAAATTGTATGCTTTCAGAATAAACAAAACAAAAACAGCTTTCCTCTCATGCCGTTTCAACACTATGCTGTTATTTTGAAACTTAAGAGATTTTCTATGAATATTGAAATAGCATAACTATGTATCTACTGAGCAGTTATTAATCCCCATGATATAACCAATTAATGTGCAGATTACACCAAAGATACCAAACAGAACACCTGCGGATCTTTAAAAAGGCATTTTTCTATGTTGTATTTCTTATTACAAATGATGGCTACAGTTTTATTGAATCTTACAGATTCATCTTGTTTTTAGAAGCAGATCATAGGTGTGTTTCCAAGTGGGGCTGAAGCTCATGTCATGCATAATGATGACAAAAGTACTGTGCCAACAGATAATATCTGAGGTCAGATTTCACAGCTGAAACTTGCAACAAACCAGTGATCCAAAAAAGATCCTGCCTGCACTGTGGTGTCTTGGTACAATGTTCTAGCCTCACGCCTCCTTGTCAGGGCAGCAGGCGGTCAGAACACTTCTACTTAAATTTACTATGTTATAAGCTAACTTCAAATTGCAAGAAATCTTACAGCATATTAAAAGGAGAGGATATTACTGAGTCTTCATCAAATCAAGTAAAATTCCTTGCAAAAGTCAGTTTTAACAGTAAGGACTCACTGAAGTCCCATCACGAGAGGAGAAAGAAGAGCATTGGTCAAATGTAATTAAAGCTTAAAGGGAATGGTAGTTATTTTGGAATCCAACTTGTCCAGAAAGGTTTCCACAGGCAAAGGAAGAGGCTTCTGAGAAATGTGAGTCCTTGCTGGAGGTCATTTATGGTTTCTCCATTTTTCAGAAACACGGTGAGAGCTCCGTAACTGCAGTTAATAACCGTACCTTCACTTTCTCTGCTGTATTTCTAGATCTTGTACACAGACCTGTTGCTGCATTTATCTTGCAACCACAATTCATCTCATGTTCATTTCCCTCTGAATTTCTCAAATACAGAAAAAAACTGAATTTATGGCTCCTTAGAATGTAAGCATAGCGCTTCACTAGTATTTTTGTCAAGATGTTTAACCCAGAACAGACTCCAAATGCTCTTTGGCCTATGCCTTTTGATTCTCAAGCCATAATTAAGAAATGCACACGGCTTTAAAAGCTGGGTTGCATAAAATGCAATTCAGATTTTAATATGGAACTTGCACTGGTATCATAGTTCTCCTGACAGCATAGAGATCAATATTGATCTCCAATTACTGTTATTAGATAAGCCCTTCCTGTTGTTTTTCAACTAAGTGATGGCTCATTATGAAGATCTTTTTTAGGTAGTTTATAAAATGTGAGAAATACAGACAATTTTGTGTGTTTTTTCTAATGTTAAATGTACTCAGTTTAAAATAGTTTTTTGTTATGATTTTTCCTGTTTCTTTTGTTGCATAAATTCTTTTATGACACAAGGTGATAGTTGATGTCATATAAATAAACCCAATACCAAGATGAACTAACTTGTGGTCTTTTCATGTTATGACACAGTACAAAATTGACCCTAACCCAGTGGGATACAGTTTAAGGAAGTAGTACACGGAGTAAATATGCGTGGCGCCCTCTTGTGGTAGGTTGGTAGAAGTAAATCTTTGCAAGAGTAATTTCTAAACTCAGGATGTTTACACAGGAAGTTATACAAGCAATGTTCAAATTTAACTTTAACTGTTGCCAATTTTTACATAATTCTTAAAAATATCTGGAAGTGTTTTATCATTAAGAAACCGAACACCAATATCTTGCATCGCACTTGGAATCCACTGGGCAAGCTCTGCTGTAACATACTGATCAGGATAAAAGGGCTTATAGCCTGTTTACTTACCCCAGTTATATTTGCCTTTAAAATGAGGTGACTGATTAACCTGAAACAATCTATATCCATGGTGACCAAATTGCAAACAATGCAAGGAACCAGTGGGATAGTGTGTTTGCACTTGTGTGTGAATACATACACAGTCTTAGGAAGGGTGTGTTTGTGTGCGTGCGTGTGTGTGTGTGTGTGTGTGTGTGTGTGTGTGTGTGTGTAGGGCAGCTCTCTTTGTTACCTTTCAAGTCATACTAACATAGTTTACAGTCTAGTTTATTTGAATTGTAAGGTTAGTCTTGCTTTACACAGCTACAAGAAATTTCAAACAGTCTAATTCACATTTGTGGAGTATTTTGAAATGGCAAAAAACATTAGACGGCGAGGTTGTGAAATGCCAAAGTCAACAAAGAATAGTGGGGCTTATGAAAAAGCTGGGGGGGAAAAAGTGTTTTCTTTTTGTAACCAGACAGATCCTAGAAAGGATTATAGTTTATAGAAAGGGCTGGCTGCTGGGAGGAGGCTGTCACATAGCCCTGTGCATGAGCTAGCGTCCATGTCTGTGCATAACGCTGTCTCCCACAATCCTAGCTCTAGCTTCTGTGGCTCCTAGTTGACATGCAGCCATATCTTCCTCTCTGGGCACCTGATCAGGTCACTGCTTTGCCTTTAGCAGCTGTTCTGTTTACTCAGGAAGCACATTGAGACCGTCCCAGAGGGGCCAAGCTTCACCATCATGTTGATATTTACAGCATGACAAGAAATGTATTTACCTAATCATGCCAGGACGTCAGTTCTTATTGGAGCTTTGAAAGGCTACTCCTGTATCAGCCATTAGAAACATGCTGTTATGCTATTAATTAACCTACTAATGCCATTACCTAGAATCAGTTCACCTTACTTAACTCTGAGGTCTGATGTTCCAGTCTGCAAAAACAGGTCTGGCTATCCTTGTCCAAAGGACTATTATCCAGGAAGACTTCCCTAAGACTTGATTTCAAGTCATCCAAACTTTCCACTAGTTTTCCCTGGCCTACCATGGACAACAGTAAATCATATATATTGAAAAAAGGGAATGAAATAATACACTCTGCTGTTTCAAAAAGTGTTATATAGGGCACTTTTATATAGTACTAGGGTATGCTGGTATAGTTTACTTAGATAACATCAGGGATTTACTTCCTATGTTTTCAGTATTGCACCTGTAGCTTTTGAGTTGTCCAATTCTCCAGTTTATAGGAAATAAACTAAAGTATAGAGCATTACAGTAAAAGTTTTAATGTTTTCCAGAGTCAAATAGCTATGAGAAAAACTCATTTTTTTCTAAATTTGGCCAATAAGACAAAACAGTACCTGGATTAAAAGAAAAAAATTTTTTTTGATTATTCCTAACTTTATGTAGTTATGTAGTATATGAGGGAGAAAATCCTGGGACTGAATCTAGGTTCTAGTTCTAGATCAGGATCTAATGAAATGTGTGGATTATATATCTTATATGGATAAATTTTCTCATTGCTAAAGAATGGATCTGAATTGTTGGACTGACTATAAGAGTCACTGATAATCTGAAACCAAGAACTCCAAAGAAAATAGTAACATAACAGCAGCATACACTTCAAGTGAATCTGAATAGTCAGGTTGGAGAACTACTTATAACTGGATTGCCTCAAAGGCGTGACTTTCACCTAAACTTGAGATCACAACCATACCTTACAAAAGTACTTAATACAGAATAGTGTGGCCTTGTGGCCTCAAATCAACAAATGTTTACTGAATTGGGTTTCATTTTATATGCTAATATGATTGGCAGTTTCTGTTTCTTTTGAGGCTTTCAGGGACTTCTAATATCGAGCATTTTCATACACCAAGCACAGTCTAACAATTAAGATTAGATCAGATGAAGGAAGTAGCATTTCCCTAGTGTGGACTTTTTTTGATGGTGATGGTGGTACTGGAGATCAACCTAGAGGCACTCTACCACTGAGGTAATCCCCATCTTTCCAATTTAATTTTTAGACAGGGTCTTCTTAAATTAAGCGGGTGGGATTTTAACTTGAAATCCCTCCTGCCTCAGTTTCTCAAATGCTTGGGACCAGATTTTTCGGGGGGGAAGAGGCGGGTGCTGGAGATGGAACCCAGGCACGCTCTATCACTGAGCTACGCCTCCAGCCATTTAATTATTTACTTAGAATTTTGAGACAAGGTCTTGCTGAGTTACTAAACTGTCCAGGCTAGGCTTGAATTTGTGATCCTCTTGCCTCAACCTCCCAGGTTCCGGGATTACAGGGGTGTTTAAGAGGTTAGAAATAATATAGTAAAGGGTGCACATAGGTAAACGCAATTCAAAAGGAATCGCTGAGCACGGTGATAGTGACAGCAGTACCGTACAAGGTAGTACGGATGGAATAGGGAACGGGGCAGAATTATGACCTGTATCTCATAAAGGCTCAGGATATTACAATTTATAAATTGCATACACTTACATCATCTCCCTGTGTCCTTAAAAAAATCCTATTTCAAATACTACAACACCCTTTGTGAAAATTAAGAAAAAGTCTTTGAGAGGTCAAACAGAATGAAAACAGCCTCTATATTAATGTTTCTCAAACTTTAGTCATTTGTAAACCACCTTATCCTTCTTACCATCTTTGACCACCACTCGGACTATTGTTTACCTAATATTTTTTATGAGGTTAACATGACTTAAGATTCTTAGTTATCCTAAGTAGTATTTTTAAAACCATACATCATAGTTTTTCTAATAAGCTTTAAAATAAATACAAATTTCAAATGGCTCTGGTACCTACCATACTTCAAGACTCTTTAGCACAACACACGAAACCCTCACTTAAAGCATCTGAACAATCAGTTTTCATTTCTGCTTGCTCATTTGCGGTGATTTTAGGAAAGTCCCTTAATTTCTCTATACCTGTTCTGTTATTTTAAAAATGGAGATGATACTAATAACAACATAGGATTCTCGTGTAGATAAATTAGATGACAGATGTAAAGTTATTAGCAAAGTTCCTCTCATGTAGTAAGCTTTCAATGATATTAATCTTTTAATATTAATAGTAAAGTTAGCTCTGGAGCCACCTTTGTGATATTCTCATAATTTTAAAATCTTTAAAAAATAGAGTCCCCGAAGACTTCCCTATCATTTCCCTAATTTAACTAAACTGCTAACGAAGAAAGGAGGCCTTTAAAGTGACATGTGTACACATTATTATTACCAGATTATCTGCCTTTGGTTAGGCAGGAAGTAACCTCAGAAATGGAGCTCAATCAAAATCCTTTCGTTTTAGGGCTTTTGCAGAGACGCCTAGACCAAGGAAGAACAGTCTACCCTGTCCAGCTGCATCCTAGGCTACCTACATCCCGCCTTTCCTCAGGTCAAACCCAGCGCCAAATTTTCAGGTCACCTCGTGGTCAGCGGCTTTTCTTGAAGGCGTCCACTTTTGTGTAAGTCTCAAATTCTGCCGTCCCGCCCCTCTGGACCACGTCAGTTCGGTTTTCATCTCTTCAGTAACTGTTGTTTAACTCAATACTGGGTTACCTAGTACTTTGGTTTCCGCCCCCAGAGAAAGAGCGCTTTCCGTAAGACTTGCAGGGTTAATTGAAAAGCTGCCGCTTTGCTTTGAGGACTGCCTCGTCCTCTGATTACTGCCGCCGGTGGCCGCAGGAAGACTACAGCTCCCAGCATGCCCAGCGAAAGGCAGGCTGACCCGGGGGCGGCTTCACGTGACCACCCACTATGGCTGCCCTGTGTTAGGGCTACCTGTGTGGAGGTTCGGTGTCATTTGTTAGCACTTTGCGGTCGTGCGAGCGCCTCTTTATTTCGACATGCAAAAAATCAAATCTCTCATGACCCGACAGGTAAGTCCTCCTGTCTGAAGCAAAGGCCTTTATCTTTTCGTCTGGGGAGAAGAGCCGAGATGTTCTTTCCCTGGGCGGTTGCCAGCGGAGACCTAAGTTATAGGTGGTGGCAGTGTCAGGGGCCTCTGGTAGCTGGGGTGCACCCTGGTAAACTCACCTGAGCTGCGTAAGTGGAATCCCTGATCTGTTGGGTAGCACCGTCTTAGAGACATTCTTTCAGACAAGGTCAAGGAGGGAGTCAGACTATCTTTGTCTTCCCTCTTTTCCTTTTTGCCAGCTTTCCAGGACAGCCCGAGCTGTCTCGCAGGATCCCCTGCATCCTGGCTGGCTGTCGTTTGTGAGGAGATGACTTGGGAAGAGAGGTGGAGTCAGTACGATAGAGATTACCTGAAAAGAGTGGGAAATTTTTAAAAAGAGTATGATGTAGGACAGAATTTGCAGCGTTGGGCGAATCTCCAAACCTTGTACCTTTATTTCTGGATGTGAAAATGAGAGTAATAGTTAATTTTTGTACCCCTTATCTCATAGAATGCTACTTTTTAAAAATTGACCTTGTCATGGCAAAATAATGGTCTCTTAGGCCAGAACAATATTTCTTTAATAATAACTTTTAAAGTAAGATTCTGTTATAAGAACGAAACATAGTTAATCTTAGAATCTTAGATCATTGTGGATTTTGAGAAGCTGGGAGAATATGGACAATAATCCCTTAGTGAAAGGTTGAGTTGGGAGTTTTTGTTTTTTTTGCTTAAAGAACACAAATTCTAAATTAAATATTTGAGAATTCAGAATTGTACATATATCTGAACAGATTAAATGCTTCTGATGGATGATATACAAATGATCTCTGCAGGATTATTTTGATTTTGCCAATTATATTGTTGATGTCATGAAAATATAATTAAAGTTCTGTACATAATAAAAATGTAGGTAAGTGGGTAGTAATATTTAGCAGTCTTTCATTTTTTTTAAAGTATCGGTGCTGTGTTCTTATTACTTCTTACTTAAGGATGAATTTGGAATCTGCTTCATTGTGCAGTAGCTGTGTGACTGTGGGAAAGTTGCCTTACCTTTTTAAGCATCTGCTTTCACACCTTTGAAATAGGAACCATTATGTGTTTCTCATAGGGTTAGCCTGGTACTGAGTATCATGTGATGAAATGATGTCATAGACAAACTTTAAGTTTGTAGGTATTATCAAGGAAATACGTGGTCATAGAGACCATCACATCAGCTACATTGGTGGGAAGCAGGCTGTTGCTATTTTAAGCAGTAGATAATTTTCATGCTGATTTTGGTATCTTTTTGATTTTTAAACCAATTCAGGGCTGGGAATTTAGCTCAGTGGTTCCACCACCTGTCTTGTAAATGTAAGGTCCCGAGTTCAATCTGTGGTACCCCCCCAAAAAAATAAAAAATAAAACAATACACACTTTTGTACATTATACCATTAATCAGTTGCCTTTGCTGAATTCTGACTAAAATGCTCATCAGCTAAGTTTGTGCTCTCACATTTGTTGTCAGCATTGCCGTAGTTGTACAGCAGCTTTGGTTGGTTTATTGCTTGTGAATCTTCCATTGCAAAATTGAGTTTAAGAGGAAAAAAAATACAAAATTCCTGATACCAAGTGATAGTAAGTTTATGTCTACTAAATGTAATGAAATTGTGCTGAGAGTATAATTCTTAAGCTTCAGTTGCTTATTGAATATGCCTTGAATCTGTGCTTAATTGGAATGGAAAAATATGGACAACATATATAAACAGATGGAACCTTACTAACTAAAAAGTGAAGTGAAATTAGTTTTATACAAAATTTTAAAGTCATCCTAATTATGTATTGCTATGACTTGATTTTCACATGGTTGATTGTTACAGTAACGCTTTACTCTATGTTGAGTTAATGTGGATTGATATGAAATTAAAGAGTTTGTTTTTGGCATTTCAGCTGTCCTAAGATCTTTGTTTGCCGAGAGTGAGAGGGAGAGAGGGCTTTGTTAGCTCTTTTTATTTAGATAAGATCTTCATTTGCTGGTCTCTGCTTTCAAGAAGTTGAATGGAGCCCTTTGTGCCAGGCACTGTTCTAAGTTTGGGGGATGCAATAGTGAATAAAAGAGACAGATGCTGAAGCTGATGTGGTGATAAATACTTTAGAGGAAAAGAGGGTAGGAGGAGTCGGGCGGTGGCGCAT